AAAGAATCATCTCTTAATATTATAATCTAAATTATAAAATATTTTTTAATAAAAGATAGAAAAGGAGAGTTATAGAATAAATTTTCTTTGTATCATTTTAACGTGAATAATGATAAATAAGATAAAAATTTAAAATTAAAATAAAAAACCAATGATGTGATATAAGTCATAACTTAAAATACTAAAAAATAAATCTTATATTATTCAATGATTAAGTTTTTTCATTTTTTTAGACATATAATATTATATACAATATACATCAATTAATTTACTAATATAACATACATCACATTATTAATTTTAAAATTACATCCCAAATTTCTAATGTTATTTTTCTTTACATGATGTTACTAATTTCCTGCAAAAGTAGTAGAAGTAGACAAATGGAGTTTTTCTTCTAACTAATGGTAATTTATTATAAGTGGCGGTTAATATTACGGCGGTGGGAAAATCCCATTTAAGACGTTGAGATTCAAAAATTCAAAAACCTATACTCCGATAAATACGACAAACCCTCTCAGCGTTTCTTCCCTTCGCAAAAGAAACTTTCTGGCGCCCTTCTCTGTACAAACCCGTCCCCGTCCCCTCTCCACCTCCGCCTCCGTCTCCGTTTCCCTCAACTGACGAAAACCCTAATTTCTTTCGCCTCCCAATCCTCACGAAGACCTAATTCATCTCCTTTAATTCTACCCCCTTCTTTTTGCAGTAAAGTCCTTGGCTTTTTTCTCTGATCTTTTTCCCCCAATTATTAGCCCTAATCGTTTCCCTATTGCCCCACGTCATACTCCACTCAAGGTTATTTCCTACCACTTCATGTGTTGTTTATTTGATGAATATTGATTTCTGATTTTATATCTAATGCAACTTTTGCGAGTTCTTGATCAATTTCGCTTTGAATTTTGATTTTGATTGTAAACTGATTGTCTGATGGGTGTGGAATTGAGTTTTTCCTTTGTGATGTAGCTTCTGTTCCCTTGTTGTTTGATTCAGAATTCATCAGAGTTGGTGTATGTATGTAGAGAAGTTTTGGTGTATGTTGTGTTTTGATTTTCAGAAGGTTCTTGATGCAATCGGTTCTGTTGTTTGCTTCTATCATGAATTTTTCATTTTAATTAAGGTTTTAATTTGGATGATGATGATAAGCTTTGTTTTTTTCTTTTTCTTTTATGGTTCTGTAGGATTGATGAGTTTTCACTTTGGGGACAAGAAAATGGAAGCTAATGGGACGGAAGATCTTAAGAAGCCTTTGTTGCAGCCGTCCTCAGATTCTGTTGCAATCACAATACCTGAACCAGTTCATAATTTGGATAAAAAAACCCGGACGGTTATGTTCAAGATAGGAAATATCAAGTGTGCATCTTGTGCCACCTCGATAGAATCTGTGCTAAGACAGCTTGATGGTATCAAAAATGTTACTGTGTCACCGCTTGAAGGTCAAGCAGCAATTCAATATATTCCAAAGCTCATCACTGTAAGTCATCTTTAATAATTTTCTGATGGGTCTTCATGCTTTTAACCATGGAAAACTGGACCGATGTTTTCTTTGGAAGCACAGGCTACAGGTTCCTGGTCTTTAGGTTTCACCATTTCTTGTGTTTTGGAGTTACGCCCTTTTTATGTTTCTTATTATGTATTAGGAAGATGGTTGAACTTGATTTTATATTGCTGAAAGTTTAGACCATGAGTGTTACTCTTTGCCTGTGTGCAACTGCCCTATCCCTGCAGCTCCCCAAAAAAGATTTGTCAAAATTTAAGTTCTATTACTTGCTCTGGCAGCTCACTTAAATCTGTTAAAATTCATGGATTTGTTTTATGTGTCATATTCTCCAGTTTTTCAATTGTAACTTCATGTGTTTTTCTATTGTTAGAGATTGAAGCATTTACTGTTGAATTCTATTGCAGGCAAAGAAACTAAAAGAAACCATAGAGGATGCAGGTTTTCCAGTTGATGAGTTTCCAGAGCAAGAAATAGCAGTATGCCGTCTCCGAATTAAAGGAATGGCTTGCACTAGTTGCTCTGAGTCTGTTGAACGTGCCCTTCAAATGGTTAATGGAGTGAAAAAAGCAGTGGTTGGTATTGCTCTTGAAGAAGCTAAGGTCCACTTTGATCCAAACCTAATTGATACTGATGACATCATTGAGGCGGTAGAAGATGCTGGATTTGGAGCTGATCTTATTAGTTCTGGAAATGATGAGAACAAAGTGCATCTAAAACTTGAAGGAGTTAATTCTTTGGATGATGTGAAAATTATTCAATCTTCCCTTGAGCCAGTTGAAGGTGTGAATCATGTAGAAATGGACCTGGTAGAAAATAAGGTTACAGTTACTTATGACCCAGATCTCACTGGTCCAAGATCTCTCCGACATTGCATAAAAGAAGCTGGTGGTAGCTCCAAATCTTATCAGGCTATCTTGTATGTACCACCAAGGCGAACAGAAACAGAGAGGCAGCATGAAATTGAGATGTATAGAAATCAGTTCTTGTTGAGCTGCCTGTTTTCTGTCCCTGTATTTATATTCTCCATGGTGCTCCCAATGCTTCATCCTTTTGGTGACTGGTTAGAATACAACATATACAACATGCTTTCAATTGGCGTGCTTCTAAGATGGATTCTATGCACACCAGTGCAGTTTGTCATTGGTAGAAGGTAATTATTTGTCCCCGTTTCCCTTGAATATTATCTTCCATTGTCTGTACTGTTTATATGATTACAATTTTGAACATCTCATTTTTTGAGAAATAGCATTTGTCTAGTTTATTTATGTTCATGCAATAATTATTTTATCATTTTATGCCTGTGTCAGATTTTATGTGGGATCATATCATGCCCTAAGACAGAGATCTGCTAACATGGATGTTCTAGTTGCAATGGGCACAAATGCTGCATATTTTTACTCTGTATATGTAGCAACTAAAGCATTGACTTCAGATACATTTGAAGGGCAAGATTTTTTTGAGACCAGTGCAATGTTAATATCCTTTATTCTATTAGGCAAATATTTGGAAGTTGTAGCTAAAGGAAGGACATCAGATGCTTTAGCCAAACTGACAGACCTTGCTCCTGAAACAGCTCATTTGTTAACATTAGATATTGATGGAAATGTCATATCAGAGACAGATATTAGCACTCAACTGTTACAAAGGAATGACATGATTAAGATCGTTCCTGGGGAAAAAGTTCCTGTAGATGGGATTGTCATTGATGGTCAAAGCTATGTGAATGAGAGTATGATTACTGGAGAGGCAACACCAATCGCTAAAAGACCTGGTGACAAGGTACTCTATTTTTGGTTTTGACATTTTGCTAAATATCTGGTTTCCTAGAGATGGTTAACATTTCTTATCTAAAAATATGAACAGGTTATTGGTGGAACAGTGAATGAGAATGGATGCTTGATTGTTAAGGCCACTCATGTTGGGTCAGAGACTGCTCTTTCTCAAATTGTTCAACTTGTGGAAGCTGCTCAGCTTGCCAGAGCTCCTGTTCAGAAACTTGCTGACAAGATTTCTAGGTTTTTTGTTCCTGCAGTGAGTTTTCTTGTTTCTTTGTACCAAATTTCTGCTTTATATTGTTCTTACCATATTTTCACTGAGTCAAAGGATTTCTTCTCTCTTGTCATTTCTTCAGATGAAGGGTTCTGTTCTTCATTTGTTTTCATTTCATTACATACATTTAGATTTGGAGCCTCAAAGTGATAAAAATCACATAATTTAAAAAATAAAAATAAAAATCTAGCCTTTTATTTGAACTTTTGCAAATTATGATATCTAATCATTTTTGTAGTCTGTCTTTGATGTTTTTGTGCAAATGGAGAGAGATGAAAAGCATTTGTCAAATCATTTTGTACATAATTTTAACATGTAAACATCCAACGTGAAACCAATTGGCTGTAAGTGGAGAGGCTCATATGTATTTAACAAGTCCACGTAATTCACCACAGTGGGATTCTCCACCTTAACATAACAAATAAATGTATCATGGAGATCTTCCATGATTTTTCCTACCTGTTAAAGTTTGTTCCATATAAACTGTTCATTGGATTAATCATTTTGTTTTTGCTATATTCATAGGTTGTTTTAGTAGCGCTCATAACATGGATGGGATGGTTTATCCCTGGTGCCCTTGGTCTTTATCCTAGACATTGGATTCCTAAAGGCATGGATAAATTTGAACTGGCACTACAATTTGGCATTTCAGTTCTAGTTGTTGCTTGCCCTTGTGCTTTAGGACTTGCAACTCCTACAGCAGTAATGGTTGCTACAGGAAAGGGTGCCTCATTAGGTGTGCTCATCAAGGGAGGAAATGCACTTGAGAAAGCACATAAGGTAAGACTGCTATATATTTCTTGAAACAAGTATGTTTGATAAGATGGGAGTACTGTTCAATTATTTCGACCAATGACTGGGTTTATGACTAAAA